AAGTCCAAAAAACCAGTGGGAGGGCAACTGGGAGCACTGGGAGGAAGATCAAGGTGGGGAGACCCCAAAATTCTTGGGAATGGTCCCAGAATTCCAGGGGATACCCAGAATTCCCAGGGAAACGCTCAGAATTCCAAGGAGAACCCAGAAGAACAGTGGGAGAGTCATTGGGAGGAACTGGGATGGAACTGGGATGGGACTGGGAGCACTGGGAGGCAAAGTCCAGAACGTGGTGGAGAAGGTCAAGGTCAAGATGGGGAGACCCCAAAATTCCTGAGAATGGTCCCAGAATTCCAAGGGATACCCAGAATTCCAGGGAAACGCTCAGAATTCCAAGGAGAGCCCACAAAACCAGTGGGAGGGCAACTGGGAGCAGTGGGAGGGCACTGGGAGGGCAACTGGGAGTGAGTGCCCAGCACATCCTGGAGAAGCTCAAGGTCAAGGTGGGAACGCCCCAGGGATTCCTGGGAATGCTCGGGATCCCTGGGAATGCCCAGAATTCCAAGGGGAACCCAGAATTCCAAGAAGAACCCAAAAAGCTACTGGGAGGGCACTGGGAGGCAAAGTCCAGAACGTGGTGGGGAAGGTCAAGGTCAAGGTGGGGAGACCCCAAAATTCCTGGGAATGGTCCCAGAAATTCCCAGGAATAGTCCCAAAAATTCCAAGGAGATCCCAGAATTCCAAGGGGAACACTCAGAATTCCAAGGAGAACCCACAAAACCAGTGGGAGGGCAACTGGGAGCACTGGGAGGGCACTGGGAGGCAAAGTCCAGAACATGGTGCAGAAGCTCAAGGTCAAGGTGGGAACGCCCCCGGAATTCCTGGGAATGCTCAGAATTCCAGGGAATGCCCAGAATTCCAAGGGGAACACCCAGAATTCCAAGGAGAACCCAAAAAGCTACTGGGAGGGCACTGGGAAGAAGTGGGAGGCAGATCGAGGTGGGGAGGCCCCAAAATTCCTGGGAATGGTCCCAGAATTCCAGGGAATGCCCAGAATTCCAAGAAATGCCTGGAGTTACAGTCCCAAAACTTCAGGGAATACCTGGAGTTACAACTCCACAAAAGCAATGGGAGGGCACTGGGAGCACTGGGATGGACTGGGATGAACTGGGAGCACCGTGAACCCTCCCAAATCCCCTCCTTTATCCCGAAATTCCCACAGGCTGTCACCAAAATCCGGGAATTCCATCCCCAGAGGGAGAGCTGGGAGGGACTGGGAGGCACTGGCACAAACTGGGATGGACTGGGATGAACTGGGATGGACTGGGATGAACTGGGATGTACTGGGATGAACTGGGAGCCCCCCCAAATCCTCTCTTTTATTCGAAATCCATCCCCAAAATTTGGGAATTCTTGCTCAGGATGAGACACTGGCAGGCACTGGCACAAAGTGGAGGGTACTGGGGTGGACTGGGAGGAACTGGGATGGACTGGGATGAACTGGGAGCACCGGGAGCCTTCCCAAATCCCTCCTTTTGTCCCAAATCCCTCCCCAAAATCCAGGAATTCCCGCTCAGGATGAGGCACTGGGAGGGACTGGCACAAACTGGAGGATATTGGGACGGACTGGGAGGAACTGGGAGCAACTGGGAGGAACTGGGAGCACCAGGAGCCCTCCCAAATCCCTTCTGTTATCCCGAAATTCCCACAGGCCGTCACCAAAATCCGGGAATTCATCCTGCAGAAGATTTACTCCTTCCGCAAACCCATGACCAACTACCAGATCCCACAGAATTCCCTCCTCAAATACAAGTAAAGAATTCCCAAAAAACCTTCAGGCCGGGAATTTCGGGGGTCCGGATCCCGACAGAGGCGGGAAAAATTCCCGGAATTCCAGGTTTTTCTACCAGTTCCTGCTGGGGAACGAGCGGAACGTGGCGCAGGAATTGCGGGATCAGTACGTGGAGACCGTCAGCAGGATCTACTTCTCCTACTTCAAATCCTACACCGGGAGGCTCATGAAGATCCAGGTGGGAATTCCCGAGGATTTGGGAATTCTGGAGGGGGTTGGGAGGGCGCAGGAGCCGTTTTGGGGGGGAATTTTGGGATAGATCCCAATTGGAATTGCCGGGGAAGATCCGCGTTCTCTCCTGTGGGTGATGATGTGGGTGGGAAGTTAGAGCTTCCAAGGGAATTTTGGGATGCAAATCCCAACTTTTGGGATGCTGATCCCAACTTTTGGAATGCTGATCCCAGTTTTTGGGGTGCTGAGAGAGTTTTGGAGGGATTTTGGGGGTGAATTTTGGGATGGATCCCACTTGGAATTGCTGAGGAAGAGCCGCGGTCCCTCCCGCGGGTGTTTGTTGGGTGAAGATCCAGGTGGGAATTTGGGGGTTTTTAGGGAATTCTGGGATGCAGATCCCAGTTTTTGGGGGGTTATCCCAATTTTTAGGGTGCTGAGAGGGTTTTGGAAGGGTTTTGGGGGGGAATTTTGGGATGGATCCCACCTGGAATCCCTG